CTGAATGATGAGTTTTTACAATTTGATTATTAGTAAGGGATGAGATATGGGAAGAAGAAATTTTTTTTAAAAAAACTGAAATACTAGAGAAGGTGTTAAGTTACTGAAATGGTTTATACTTGTCTGGAGGTAGGGGAGAGTAATCTTTTATATATCTTCTTTTTCCTTTCCTTTTTCCTTTCTTTTTTCTTTTTACACTTCTCTTTTTCTCTTTATTTTTTATATTTTCCTTAGTTTGCATTAGTCTTTTATCTTTGTATTTGTAAACTCTAATAAAATCATTTTTTTTTTTAAAAAGGAAAACATTCAAGGATATAAATACAATGCAAAGTAGTAAAGGGCAAATGGATTAGAGATAAGGCAGGATTGTTAGCAGACAGGAGGCAAAGGTTATGATGAAGGGGATCAAGAAAAGAGCAAGGGAGTAAGCAACTGGGGCAATGCCGGCTGAGTATGGCTGCCCAGGACTAGAGTGGGGTTTTGAGAAACAAGAAAGTTCTTATACCTTTTACTGCTTCTTTCTTGAACAGGAGCATGAGCAGAATAGAGCAGCTACCTAGGAGAGTTACCAACCAGATCAGCACCCAGTGCGTCCGGGAATCTGCACCAAAGCATGGAGGGCAGGAATTCAGTGCTGTAGATGAAATTGGTCCCAGTTCCCTCCCTCTCCCCATTGGCTAAGGCTGAAAGGCAAAGTCTTGAGCAGATAGCCCAAGCTTCACTTTAAGGCAGACTTCTTTGGGTCCTCTGCATCTGGGGAGTTGCCATCTTTAACTCTTGACAGGTTAGCATTCCCCCAAACACAGTTAGTGCACAATTTTGGGGGGGGGGGGGTCTTCCTAGATTTGCGGCTCCTGCTGGAGGAGCGGGTGGCAGCTGTAGCTTTTTCACAAATCCATCTTGTGTGTCATTTGGACCCATTCCTGGTCACTCATGTCTTAGACACTTCCCAACTGGACTGATGCAATACATTCTACATGGGGCTGCTCTTAAAGATCACCCAGAAGTTTCAACTGGTCCAGAATGCAGTTTTGGGTACCTTGTGCATGCAGTTTGTGGTCCTTGTGGTTTTCCTGTGTTACACCACTGTTGCACAAGTTGCACTGGCTTCCACTTTCCTTCCAGATGCAATTCAAGGTGCTGGTTATCACCTTTAAAGCCCTGCATGGCATGGGGCAAGATTATTTGAGGGACCACCTTTTCCCAAGGGTATCTGATCATCCCACCAGATCAGATAGGGTGGGTGAACAGGTCCCCTCCATTAAACAATGTTATCTGGCAGGACCTAGGAGATGGGCCTTCTCCATAGCAGCATCTGTCCTAGGGAACAGCTCCACACAAGATCCAGAGGGCCCCTATCCTCCTGGCTTTCTGGAAGGCTGTGAAGACCTGTCAGGCGGTGGATCAGGATGGGAGTTGAGCCCAGCACATACTATATGTACACTGGTATGGAATGCTATGGCGCCTTGGTTATATGTGATGAATTTTGTATCTTATTCTTCTATGCTGCTGCTGTTAGTCACCCTTGGTTACACTGTATAAGATGGGCGGCCATATAAATCTTCTAAATAAATAAATAAAAGGCAGACTTCTCCAACCTGGTGAACTCCAGATATGGGCATGTTGGCCAGGGACTTTGGGAGCTGTAGTCCAACTCATCTCAATGACACCAGATTGGAAAAGATTGCTTGAAAGCATGACCAGAAGAAAAATCATTTTTATAGCATGCTTATAATGCTGCAATTAGGAACCAGCACCCCTCCTAAGTCTATCAGTTGACCCACATTGCTCCCCTTCCCAGGGCTGCTCCATAGAAACAGTCCAGTCCTTTTCTGTGTAACTGCTACTCTAGCCTGTTGATGTGGTGGGTTTCAACGTAGCATTAGTCTTTCATCTGAAACACGAGACACTCACACTGCTTCCTTGAACATGCCCAGAGTATAGTAGCATTGGTTCCTTCTGCTTGCCACACCTGTAGAAGACAATAAAGAACATTTGCCTTGTAATGATGTTCACCTTTGTCAAGCCCCACACAGCTAGGCAAGACCAGGAAAGCAAGAAGTACCCAGATTTTGGGGAGGTCTCTTAATGCTCATCTGGGCTAAATACAGAATCTTGCAAATTGCAAGAAGAATTTCCAGATTGCCAAAAGAATCTTCATTTATGTTGTGTCTCTTGGAATACTTCAAGAGGCTTTTCCTCAGATCTCTCCCTAGCTTGGCTGAGTGGCCGTTTATGAGCTAAGCTATCAGCTCATTTACTCATGCCGAACTCCTCCATTCCTTTCCCAAATTCCCCATAACCACATCCTGAGATCCTGGATATGATGTACCTATCTAAGATCCTGGATATGGTCTATCTAGAAGAGACCATTACTTAGAAAAATTGATATATTTTATTTGGGAGTTTTAAGGAAATTGGTTGCGTTTCATTGCATGTTTTATGGATTAGTTTTTGCTTTTATTTAGTTAGGAGGTGGCCAAAGTGTGTATGTGAAGGTCCTGTTTTTCATTGCATGAACTGCCATGATTTTACAAGCTTCCATTCAAACTAAGAGAAGACACCATGACAGAATCTTTTCCCATTGGCTTTTTTCAGATTTGGAAGTGTGGACAGTCAGGGAGGCTCCAAAACGAGCAAAAGATATGATCCAGAAGACAACACTCACACTAGCCTGTTCTACCCCCTCCAATACAGCAATAACATCTCAAAAACATCAACAAGAGATATTTGAAAGAAATCCTCAAGCACCCTAAAAATAAGACAGGGAAACAGAAGATCTTTGTAGGCACACCTGACATAGCTTTCCTTAACACTGACTGTTGTGTTCTTCGGACAATCAGCCCAGTTATTTCAAGCCTCTTAGACCTCCTGATGCATGCAATATATAAAGGTGGCAGAAGGAGGAACAGAAAAAAAGGGTG